CCCCCCCCACACACCACACACACCCCCCACACACACCACACACAGACACCACACGCACACACACACCACACACACCACACACACACACACCATATACACACCACACACACACCACACACACACACCGCACACACACACCGCACACACACCATACACACACACACCACACACACACACACACACACACACGGAAGAAGTGAAAGGGAGAAGGAAAGAAGGAAAGGGAAACAAAGGAAGAGGACAGTGAAGGGGAGGAGTAAGGAAGGTAGGGAGAGGAGGGATAAATCAGGGAAGGAAGGAAAAGAGGAGGAAGAGAAGGGGAAACTGGAAGAGGAAGAGAATTGAGGATGAAGACAAGGAATTATTTAGGTTTTCCCAATCTGGTGGCTGAAAAGCCAAACTTCTTTTTCTCAAGTTCCAAAAATAAAAAGGGAATAAATGAAGGTACAGTCAATGAACTCTTTATTTACAGGACAAACCTGCCTTTGATTTCTCCTGCAGGTGCCAGGGCTAGCAATGCCATGATCTTTGGGCAGGTTCCGACTAGCACCCAACTCCATGCGGGAATGTATGCCCCAGCCAGACTCTCTTATGTTCAACACAGGGGTCAGGTCTTCTCAGGGGGGTGTTTTCCAAGAAACACACATTGAATCAGACCCTTGGTGGCAGAACTCAGTTCACAAAAGTCTATGCAAATACAAAGACCAGAAAAGACTGAACGTGAGTGAGATCAACTTACAGCATAGACTACTTACAGCATTCGATAGGGTTTGAGGCAACCTGGAGAGACAGTGTTCGGCCATTGGGTTGTGGGATGTGGACCCGGAATACCAGCCGCACTCTGGTGTTCTTCCTCCCGATGTCTGTTTCCCCTTTCCGCAGCTCGATGTCTGAATTTCTGAGCTTCAGGATCCCAGCACAGTCAATGCTGCCAGAAACAAAAACCATGGCTTTGCTTTAGTGCCCAGTACTCAATATGAAAAACATGAACCATCCACTTCCAGGCCCAGTAGGCTCACCCCTTCAAGTCTGTTCCTGCTGGTACCCCAACCCCACTTCCCTGAGAAGAAGCCTGCAGGTAAAGATTACAGCATCTCTACATGACAGCAAGGTGGAAACTGAGCAGCTGTGCAGATGTAGTCTCTACTTGGGACCCCCAAGACGACACCAGATACTTTCTCTCCCAGACATCTTAGGCCCCTGCCTGACTGGAGAGGACATGCCAGAGCAGATTCAAGAGGAAAAGCCTTCGAAGATGTGCCTGCCCTGTGTGTGCTGAAGTGCTTCAACCCAACACATTCAAGCGCTGGGTCATTATTTCCATTACCCACTTTAAGATCTCTTTTTTCGCGTGTGAATTTTTTTTCTTCTAGGGTTTTATACAACTTCATAATTTCATTTAAATCTAGATTCCAGGAAAACATTCCACGTATAAAAATCTTGATGTAATAAAAACCAAGCCTTTTTCTTTTTCCATAAGCGAACAGCATGTGCCTCCCACACCAGGTGGTCATATGGGAACCCACAGGTAGCACACACAAATGCAGCCTTCAGGGCATGTCCTGGACTGAGGGGCTGTGCTTACTGATGGCTGTCCCCCTGCTGGACATACTATGGTGAGTGTCCACAGCAGTTTGCTGGCTGAACCTGGCTCTTCTCAGACCCTCTGGCCCTGTTCTACCTTTGAGAAATTTGGATTATAGCTCAGGAAGCAAATCAAGGATTGAGAATGAAGCCACTGTGACTAAATCCCTGGGATTCATGAGAAGCTGACACAGACAGAAAGCTTTCCCACTGTCTTCTGCTTAGGGAGTTTAAAGTTATGAAGAACTTACCAAAATACACACAAAGTGCTATGTGATACAGCCCCACCCCAGTCTTCCTACACTTCCCTCCCCATGCTGGTCTCCTCATAAGTAGATGGACACCCCAAACTCATTCCTTCCCTATGGTCTTTGCATGTGCTGCCTAGAGCCCCATACAGGCCTTCCTGAAGCTAAATGCTACCTCCTTGGAGACACTGATACCCCAGGAGTGGTATCAAGCCCTCCAGCCTGCTCCTTGTCTCACTTATCTGCATTTTTTTCATTATGACCACTTCACCTTCTGCCCATTCACTTGTTCACTTGTGCTGGTTATCTGTCTCCACCCTGAGGCCCAATGCAGTGTGGGACCCATGGGAATAACTGGGACATAAGCTTCCTCTGTTGGACTCCTAGTTCAGGACACTTGATTTACAGGATGAACTGAATGCAGCCCCACTTAATATCATGTGATGTGGTTTCGCTTTATTGACAAGTTTGCTTCTAAGCTCACTGTGTGCCAGGTGGGCGCTACACATCAGTCACATGGGCAACTCTGAGTGAAAACACTGTTCAAAGACATTGCCCTTCCTACCTTTTCAGTGTTTGCATTTCAACCAGTCCTCAAATGAGCACTACTGCATTCAGAAGTAAACAGGTGTCATGTTAGGGAGCTAAATGCAGGTACTGGGGGCAGTATTTACAGCTGTGTAATTGAGACACTTATTATAGGTGGCACAATACACAATGCCTGAAACTCTAGAAAGAAGCAAAACTGTTGTTATAAATATGTGGAAAGTTTATTTAGACCTGAGCCATAGTGCATGGGGTCCAGGAGCTGGGAGCAGAGCACCACCAGCCCACCCCTTAGGCAAAGCCCCTCGCTCAGCTTACATGGCTCGCATGTTATTTTCTGGGAGCAGTGGGATCTCCAGGACTTTGGTGTTGGACAGGATGGCCTCATGGCTGGTGGTAGAGACGGTCTTCCCCGTGATCCTGTGGACCTGGTAGAAGGCATGGGGCCGTAGCAGGCGGTCATCTGCTGTCCCAATGAACAGCTGTAGCGTGAGCGGTTCATTTTCCAAGTAACCATGTAGCTGGCAAGAGAACAAAAAACTCCCACTAAGCACCGTGTACATAAACTGCTGAGAATCGAGTGTTTGTCAGCAGACTCTAGCTCCAAAGGAAATCTCTGCCCAGTGCCCGTGTCCAGTCCCTCAATTTTTGTGTAATAGCAGCACTTCTTAAAAATATACGTACAAAAATGTCTCTTATCCTAAAGGCCCTGAGCACGTAGGTTAGGATTTGAACATTCCTGGCCCTGTTTTGGAACAGATACCACACATGTTCACAGGTATGCACCCATGGATGCAGACCTTGCACATGCCTTCACACATGTACACTCACACAGACAATGTGCACATGGGCTCACACACACACACACCTAGAGGCCATGTGGAAATATATATATATATATATATACACACACACACACACTATTACACACACTCCCACAAGGCATCATGTATACATGCATGATATACAGTGTGTATTGTATACCATCACACATGTATATCCTCACACATGTACACATACAGAGAGAGAGAGAGAGAGAGAGAGAGAGAGAGAGAGAGGCAGCTTGCATACCTGCTCACACACCACAAGTAGAAGTTAGAGTGCAGAACACTCCTATTCTCATTTCTTTCCAGTTGAAACTGCTAAGAAAGGACCACGAGTCTCCAGCAGAGCCTGCTGGTCCAGGGTCTTCTCAGCCCATCAGCATCAATCCTATGTACCTCCTAACTGGCTTCTGAGAAAGGAAACTGCCTTCCACAGCAAGTGAGCAGGGCAGGGATGTGTGAATCAGAAAGCTGAGGCTCTGACAACTTCCCCAAAGCAACCCTGCAAGGTCCCAAAAAGACAGACCTGTTTTCCTGTATTCAGTTATGATGCAAGTGAGAAGAATACATGCCCACTCATGGTCAGTAAGCACTATGCGCAAGCACACATGCATGTATATACCATGAACACCACACATACACACATACACACACACACACACACACACACACACACAGACCAAACTACGTCAAGGCCATCTTTCCTGACTGTTCTGTGTACCTCTCCTTCAGAAGTGGTGGCAACAAACATTGCCCTGCCTGCTCCATTTGCCCTGACAACCCCGACCCCTTGCTGGCTAGTCAGTTGGCAGAGCATCTTTCGGTCAGTGATGGACCCTACACAGTGGAAGTGCCTGTTCTCACAGTCACCATCCATGCCACCAAAATCCTACGGCTCAAACCAGACCAAGGAACCTAGGTGCTTCCTCCAGATCATAGGTGGGTGACCTGTACTTCAGAGGACACCTGAAACATAGTCCTTATGTTGGACAGCAGTCATCCTTCAGGATAAACAACTGAAGTTTAGAAGTGAGGCCACTTGGATCTGTTACTCCAGGTGTCACCCTTGCTTTCCTTTGCCCCTAAGTGCCTGCCCTCCTCTGACAGCCAGTCATTAGCACTGTGTGTTCCATCTCTAGCACCACATTTGGTCACCAGACAGCATTTCTTCATCCTGAGGAAGTGCATGGGCAGAAGGGGCCCCTACGTGGTGTGTCACAGGGGTGGGGGTGCTTCCATGGCTCTGGGAGGACGGTGCATAGGGCTCTGGCACCACCCAGCTTGAGAACTGCTTGGTCCCACAGGCTGATGCTCATTCTCTATTGCTCTCTGTGATCTCTCTTCACACTAGACTAATTTCAAAGTCTTTGAAAACAGGAACTGCGACACAGTGGCAATAAGAGAGTCAAAATGTCCTCTCCTCAGGCAAGTCACAGCCAGAGAGAAATGTTGTAGAAGTGAAACAGCAAAAGTGTTAGTGTCACCATTCAAAGCCCATCAAGCCAAAGGCCCAGAGCTCATAGCCTCCACTCAAACCCCTGCTGAGCATTCAGGTGTGCTGCTTTCACAGGCGTGGTTGAGAGCCCCTCACAGGTGCAGGTGATACGCCTGCTCAGGGAGAACCTGGCTCCAACCACGGAGGACCCTGGGATAATGCACAAGTGAGACAGAGAAAGGTGTACACAAGCTGAGGGAAGTCAGCCTGCAGGTATGGCCTAGGCACCTCTGACTCACCCTCAACAGCCTCAAGCCATTCTATTTAGCATCTTGAGAACTGCCCACTTATGGGCCATACCTGCCATGCTCCATAGTGCCCTGCTGGCCTGAAGGAAGCCTGGGTTGATTGACACACACCATAGAATATCGGGAGTCACCTGTGTCTAGGATGGCCTTGAGGCTCTATGACTGAGTATAACTTCCTCTGGTCACCACTGGTCACCTTACCAGTGGCTCAGCCCATAGTCCATCATGGAGATCACAAAGAAAGAGATGGCTTGCCACAAGGTGGGCAGAAGGACTAGGGGCTGGATCATGACACTCGAAAACCTCGAAACAAAGGCTGATATGCAGGTAGAGACCTTAGGTGAGCTGGGGGACTGCTGAGAGTCTGATTTTAGCAAAGCAAACGGGAAGCTAAGAGACACTAGGAAGCACCAAGTAGACCTCAATGGTGCCGTAGCAAAGCGGGTGAAGTTCTGTGGTCTAGTGGGTTCTAATGGAAAGAACCCCCTGCCACAAAAACGGATCCACAAATTCTTAGAAAGGGAAAAGGAGGTAACAGGGAATAGAGGGGATGCAGAGGACCCCAAGTTCCACCTACTTCCTGCATGTCTTTCCAGCATAATTCCAGCCTTTCATTTTAATACATTGGAAAAAAACAATGAACTCTAGAAATGGGAAACAGAAAATCAGTGCAATTAGCTGCTGCTGGATTTTTATGTGGGCCATGGATATTGGTTTTTTACAAGGCAGTGGGCCCCTCATATGTCCCCCATGTGAAGTCTCAGCCACTGCCTCTGGCCTGATGCATGCCAGTGGCTCATTAGGAGAGGCTGAGGCACCATGACTTTCATTAGCTCCCATGATCTGCTAGCACGTGGCACACAGCCAACACTAACCCTGTCTCAAGATGAAAGGACTTGGGACTGAGAGTGCACTTCAAACAGGTACAGCCTGCATCCTCTTGTTCAATTATCAGTCCTGTAGCCACCAGCAGCAGGAAAAAAGAGTTCCCCATGCACTGGAGGCAAGTGGGGCACAGATATGGGCCTTTGCTGTCCCAGTAAGCAAGCGAGGTCAGGTGGAACAGGAGTCCCAGCAAAAGGCTAATTTCTGATGGCTGAAAATGAAAGCACACAGCTTCCACTTGGAAGCCATCAGACCTCCACATGGTCTTGGGAGGAACTTTGTTCTCTCCCTGCTGAATTGGCCTGGGGTGACAGCCATTGGCAACTTTGAGAAAGCAAAAGTGAGAAGGTCTCAGCTGAGGGCTGATCCTGTGCCCTACCAGTTTGCTTCAGCAAAAATCTGTTTCTTAACCTGTAGCCCTTTGAGGTAAGCTGGAACAACTTTCTGTTAGCCCACTAACTCCCTCCCCAACTCAACAGATCCCCTCAGTACAGGCATGCCTGTGGGGTTTAGACTTGAAAGTAAGAAATGGCCAGGAGACCCCTGCAACCATCCACCCAGAGAACCCAACATCTGTGTCCACAGCATAGCTCAGACCACAGAAACCATCCTTTTAGACCATGTTAGCAAAAGACCCAGACCCTGGTCTGATGCCCTTAAAAGGAAAAGGAGGGTTTCTGAATCCTGTCAGATGTCCATTACTAATGAGCATTCAGTAGAGTGATCTGCATGATCAGTAAGCTGAGGGCCAGAGATGGGGCATACCTCAGTTCAACTCTGGAGGAAGACACAGAGATCTAAGGGCAGAGGATAACAGTCCTGCTATCACGGCCCATAGGCGGGACAGGGCTGGATAGAGAGCTCACAGCAACCTGCATGACAGAGAGGCTGACCAAAACAACCCACCTGTCCCCTGGCTGGCAACCTCCAGATGTCACAACCGTGGACATAAGAATCTGTGCTGAAGAGATGGAATGATGATGGCTGCTGTGTCCCTGAAGTGCAGCCTAGCCGCTCCCTGGCACCAACAGGTGGCTCCAAGAGGACCTCCATCTGCCCAGTCGGGCAGGATTCCAAGCACCTCTGATTAACGCTTAAAAGCCAGGGCTTGTCACAGGCTGCATGTGGCATAGCCAATGGAGGCTCTGACTGTCACTTGGAGGGTGCTTTATGAGGGTACAGTAGGAGTCCTGTACGAGACAGTCTGTGTGGCAGGGGGAGATGGCAGTGGTGCTGTTCCTAGCTTCGCACACATTCACTGACAGATATTCACTGCATGTATTTTGGACACTAGGTCCAGTTAGGCTTTTTTCTGAGCTTGGATCAGGAGTTTGGGGCCAAGTACCCATTTTTATTTTTTGTCAGCCAGAGTATTCATGAACTTGATCACTTCAGGCAGCTTTACCTTGTACAGGTGCTTTCAGGCTATGTGCCAAGGGTGTGTGTGTGTGTGTGTGTGTGTGTGTGTGTGTGTGTGTGTGTGTGTGTGTGTGTGTGTGTGTGTGTGTGTGTGTAGGGCACATACTTACCACAGGTTCCAGTCTTCCTGAGATGCCACAGTGGGGAGCCCTGGTAAGGGCCAGGTGGAGCCAGAGCACAGGGTGTTTCCCTCTGCTTGCTCTACTCTGTGGGCCTGGCTGGCCTGAATAGGCAGATGCCACATAAAGTCTCTTATTTCCAAGGCCATTGACACAGAAAGCCACCTCTGCCACCCCTGGGCCCAAGTGGTCACAGCTAGGACCGTCTAATTTTGCAGGAACAAAATGCCTTTCCCTCCTGAATGACAAAACTGTGTGAAAATAGGAGTCTCTACCAACAGTGCCTAGTGGGGCTAGAAAACAAGGCCGCTGATCCAGGCTGCTTGATCTCCAGGAGCCAGGTGCCTGCTGCTTACATTGTGATGAACCTACTAAAAAATGGTTACTCTGTATTGGATTCCAATAGTTTTACAATAGGGAATGTAAAAAGAAAGTAAGAAATTCATAAACAAATTGCGCCACTTAGTATTCTATCTTGTGAAATTGAACACAAGAAAATGTAAATGAATTGTTGACTGAGTCCTTCTCGGT